ATAACCTCTTCCTTGCATTCCCACCACAGGGATAAGCGTGAAAAACCTGTGGCTATCCGAGCGTGCTTTCATTATGCCACAAGTACAATATCACCGCGAGAGAGTGTGGTGTGTGTATCTTCCTGGATTCGAGCCAACTTTCTCCAGTCTGAATTGAGGTAGGTGTTCAAGCTACCCAGAATATACGTGGGAGGTAGGCCCGAATGGTGTACCACTGCACCATGCAGCCCATTTCTACCGCTAATGATCTCTCAATTGAGTGTTGGAAGCTACAATCTCTCCAGCAAGGTAAAGTGATGCCAAAATCATCCGGAATCTGCCGAATAAAGTCTAGACAGCAGTTCACAGCTCCATCGTCATCGTTTATTCCTGCTATTCTATGCTGAGTATTCGCCTTGAAAGCTATGACATACGATAAATATCTTGTCTATCTGTTTCGTGAATCTTCGAAGTAGGACAAAGACTGCAAAATTGTTCGCGATGTCCTCTATGAACCTGGGTGTAGAGTATTCTCCTAGAGCCAAGTTCAGTCAAATTTTGCAATGTGGAAGAATTTGTGCGGCGAGGAAGTAATTCAAGTTTCTACGCTACATCAGTCACTCACTTCCAACGAGATTCATGCCCATGCAAATCTCATCAAGTCTATAGGTATGGCTTTCTACCTCCTCGTTCCAATAAACACGTCTATCGTCGAGTCGGTCTCTGAACTCGGTCGACCTTCAAATACACGCAGGAGGACGACAAATTATTCTGTACAAATCTGGGAAGCAGATATTTGGAATGGACGTGAGAGAAGTCGGTACAAGTGGGAAAAATAAAGCTGTGGATAGATTTAATGATAGAGGAGGGCCAGATACTGAATTACGGCAAGAAGTTTTCGAATGAAGATTGTGCGCGCCAACTCTTCGACTACTATAGTGTAGGCAACACTATGAACATCATCAAGGTTGGGAGGTGCATCATCCCGGGCCCTCTTCCAAGTAGGGTCTGAATAGCTAGAACATATATCCCACTCACAATAGAAGATCGCTGGTTCGAATCCGGTATAAAAACCCTAATTTCTCGCGATACTGGTGTATCTGGATGACGAAGGCCTGATTGGATTATAAAAGCTATTGAAACGTCCGTTTGATGGGTACTCACTGAGGAGGATTGACTGTACTGCGTAAGCAGATATACCTCGCAGTAGCATTTACGAATGAAGTCACAAGATTCATTGAACATGGATACGTAGCACTGATCATTTGTCATAGATAGGTAGCTGATTAAATTTAATTGATGAAAAGAAAAGACTCTTCTGACTTCATTTGCAACCACCAATGCGGGCCTTGCCTGCTTCTGTAACTGATGCCGTCCTTGTTCATGAGTATCTGTTGTGATTTATCACTACTTGATTCTTAGATTTAATAATGAGCAGCATTATAGTTGTCGGTAAATGGATCATATTTGGGCAGTATGAATTGTTCTATCTTGTTGTGGTATTCAGGCTGTTGTTATGACACAGACAGGGATCTGATTTAGCTCATTAGCGAGGCGCTTGGAGTAGAGGAGGAAAGGGGATTAGATTAGATTAGATTAGATTTTTATTATAGTCCTAACTGAGTCAATGACTATAAAGGACTCCTAGAATCTACATAAGATACTAGCTACATTTTTTTTATATTCCAATTTTACAATTTTTAACTATGCTCTTATGGACAGTGAGGGTCGAGCCCTGTTTGGAGGAAAGGGGAGATGGAGAAGGAAAAGAGAGACAACGTTTTATGTATTTCGAGATACCAGTTAATTGAGATTATTCACCGACTTCGTGACGGACAGCTGACTTCGTGACGGCACCCAATTTGTATTACTTCGTGTTTTACCAACAATACTTCACAATACACAATGCAGGGGAGCGGGAAAAAAATGAAAGCCGCTAGCCAAGCCAAAGCCTCATGGCCCTCGTATAGCTGGAAACACCCTATTGTAGGTTAGAAAGGATCTTAATTGCAGGCCCTACTAGGTTTGAGTAGAAAGAAGACTTTAAGCACCTATACGACTGACTCTAGTTATATTTGATAAATCTATAATCTTATTACCTCAATTATAGCTCTCACAGACCCTGGGGGCCAAGTCCTGAATTGTACTTGTTGATACCAACTCCAACATCTAATATCAATAGCACAGAACCTAAATATCCGGGCCTTAGCTCTCTCCTACAATCGTGATCCTAATCCCTACGTCATAATGCCTTCACTCAACGCCAAGTTTGAACTATATTCAACAAAAGAATATTTCCATCCATTTGCTTAACCCTGCATCCATTTGCTATCCGGTACACGAGTAACGCGAGAAACATAGTGGAGTATTTCTGGATTCGAGGTAGCATTCTTGCGTGTCGAGTAGGATAGGTATTTAAGCTATCTAGACGCTTCTTGAGAGACCAGTCTCGATGATATTCCGCTGCAACGTCCATCACAAACTTGATCGGATATGAAATTTTCGTAATGTAAATTATAGGAGCACTGTTCAAGGCGTAGCGTATATAAAAGAGGACCATTATTCGCTAGGTATTCGTAGGCTCGAATAACACCATTAAGTCCAAAGCCAAACTCAAAAAATCTCCATTATATCCAATTTACATCCACATAATCGCAGGCGTCAATCGAAAGGCCTGCTGAGGTCAAAGCTAGAATCAACTAGGAGTGTAGACCTGACAAATTAGATTTACTAGCCCTAAACTGTAGATAAAACGACGTCTTTTTGGGAGTAAAAGGCTAATGTGATCGGAAGCCCTTCATCTATGCCTCGTCGACCAACATGTTCGACAAAAAGAATTTTGACAAAAACTTGGGTCCAGGAGTTTCCTGCCTTCTTGCTGGTGGAGGACACCGCTATTAGGTGCGTAATTTTTGTTACTCAAGTCATTGGTTCGTTTGCTCTGTACTGCAACTACAAAGAACTCGATAGATCCAACGTATCTGAAAACCTCTAGAAACTCTCGTAGTCTAAACCTGGTTTTACATCGCCTGGAAATTTTTCTGTTGTTACACATCATGATGGCTTCATTGCGGGCCCGAATTCCAGACCTCATCCTACCCACTAATCATTTATGCATGCTTTCTAGCCGATATCTAGATCCACAACCTTGTGGACCTGTGAAGGGCAAGATCTGATTGCCCAAGAACTGTTGATTTGATACCTTGTCTTGCATTCCTAAGCTGTGGTCTTTCATGATGAATCATAAACGTAACTTAATCTTCACTCATAATGAACGTGATGTAATAAGTCACGCGTTAAAATCTTATCAGGCTTCAAATCTACGACTCCCGGCACCTGACGCGCTATCATGTATCCTAATGGCCCGGATAATTGAGGAACTAGAATTTGAGCTTAACATAACACTCAACTAATGGTATTTTACTCATCTTGCTATGACTAGGGAACACTAGCCCCTTGGGATTTCCAACTCAAACCCTCCTTTTACCTTTTGACTACCACATTTCCCCGACTATTCTGAATTACTCTTATTGTCTCTTCTATAACACCCGCAGTGTGATCTATCGTACCTCAAATATCATGTTTATTATTGATCTAAAACAGTTACCAGCCTTCATCCGTACATTTGTTCCTCTATTGACTCATGAGATGGCAAGCCATGATCGAAGACTTGAACCTTGGGAATGAATATCTACCAGGATACCTATGATTTTCGGCTTCTGGAAACCTTCTTCGGTTTAAGTAGGATTTAATCCCTATATTTAATTTCCAGATATTGGTTACCACGTTACTTAGGGCCCTATTAAAGTCCAGCTGGACTGGTTAGGCTCTACCCCCAAAATTCATCTTCTGTCTGCTTATCATAATGTCAAGGTAAAGATTCGCTTCTCTAGAAGCCTTATAATTGGCTGCTAGTTTTGATTTTAGGGTTAAAAGGCGAAAGTCTTGTTATTAATCGTTACCCTACTCTCCGAACATCGTCAACCTTCTGGCCCACCTTTTACTTTTGATGAGATATTTCGCGCCATGAATTTTGGCCAACTCTTAGCTTTTTCTATTCTCAAATCAAGGTATGCTCTTACAACTTTCACCAAACTTTTGCCTGTTTTTCAAATAAATTTTCTTTCTCTGGCTGAATTGCGTGTGAATTCGGCTTTTTTCAATCTCACAGGTCTTTGGAAGGCTTGATTAAGTAGGATGGAGGTCTTTTGCTCCAAAAATCTAGGGATAGTAGGTTCATAAGCTCTAACGATGGTTTCTGCGTAATTTCCTTAAATTGGCTTCAGGGGATTCGTCGTTGAATCAAGAATTTTATCACTTCACCCTTTGATCTGACCCACATTGAGGCCGCAAATATTAGGGGATGTCTCACTACTATTGTACAGGATATATTTCCCCTAATTAATGCTTCCCTTTTAGTTGAAATATCGTAAGGATTATAATGAGTAGACATAGACCGTGAAATAATAAATATAGAGAGTTCTGATCTTATATGGAAGCATCGATGTGAAATGGAGCAGCTCATACTATGCTCCGGATTCAATAAGAAAAATGAAGAGAAAGGGTTTCCTTCCTAGTCGAATTAAATTATTCCAAAATTGGTCTGCGTGACCCGCTTGAAGACAAGATTATTAGAAATCTCTGATGAACATTGACTTGATCTCTTGGCCTTCTTTTCCTCATCTCTTAATTTGCACGGTTTATCACGGATACCCCCGTCCCTATTCTTGGTCAATAGATTGGCCCAACACGACTCGTATATTAATCATGAGGTGAGACAAGTAGGGAAGCACTCTCTAAGGTCATTTTAAATGGATTTTGTCTTTCCTTGTACCATTTACTTGCTGTATATTATAAAGTTCAAGTTTTCCTTAATGTAGGTCCCCGGCAAGGACTCTGATCGTTACATATTGCCGCGCAAATCTTCATCTAGTTGTCACATTTACTGTCGGATCTGGTCTGACAATTGAGTTGATGGGAGTTACGAGAATTAGTGAGGATCCTTTCGCTAGTCGTCAGAGATGCATTGCGTTTATGCAGTTATTTTGTACATGTGCCCGTGGTCGAAACAATCAGATCGCTTAGTCGTTATGCGCAGCAGTCCCCATCCCTTTTATGGCGTCTATCAACCGCCCGCCGCCGGCATTTTTCCGACGCCCGTTATCCCCCCGAATATCATCCAGTCCCACGGCAGCGTCCGATGGTATGGGACACACACGGCACGATATTGCTCGACCGAAATATCGCCAGACATGATTCTTGAAGCCGTCATCTCCGACTTAGAACCCATGCCGAATAATTTGCAAAATTCCTTCCACTCCAATTTTGGCCCAGAAAACTCATGTCTCAAACACATTCGGTCCCAGCACCAAAATCCGCATTATAAGCTTCCAATCTACATGTCCAAGTTGCTTCAAGAGAAAAAATGTACTGAGGATTCCATAGCGAGCCTGGCCTTTCTAAATCATATTTCTGTGGTTGGGAAATTTAAAGGCTTTGTCCCGCCGGCTCTAGGTGATAAAATCAGTGTCACGGCAGATCAGTTAGTGCCTATGGAAAAACTAGTTTTGAAGGGTCTTGTCTATAGGCCAATTGAACGACCAAATACAAACCAGGTCCTTGCTTGGTATTACGGACATCTGCATCTATTCGAAATGGATTATCGAACAAGACTGTGGTATCCTCTAACGAATCTACGATTCGATGGAACAAATGGAGGTGTTATTGCTAATTATTTGGAGCAAAACCTTGCTCCTCTTCGAAAATCAAAACAAGAATTGACTCTTGTTTTGTGTGATACATTCCAATTGATTGAATGTATTGTTCAGAAGAAAGAAACTACTTCAAGCCCAGTACAACCCACGGCTCAAGATAGGCCAGGTCACTTGTATATGACAATAGAAAAATTGTCATCCACACCTGTAGAGGGCCAAATAGGCGCAGAACAACGACAAAAGACTATCTTTGGATAAATAAACAAAGAACATCACAGGGGTTTTAATTGAAAAGATTTCCAGTAAATATGCAGAAAATTTAAATTCTGAACTAAAATTCATTTTTAACTAATTGTAATATATAGCCGTGCGGCGGAATCAATGCACTGGATAATTATCCAAGAACTTAATTTTTTGGCACACATGATAGTTTTCGAGTATGGAAAATTACTCCCAAAATGAAAGATTCACATTCTCCAAGAAGGTATCTATCATTAGCTTTGTCCAATCTATCTATCTATCAAAAGTCTCTTACGTCCTGACCAGAAGCCGATTTTACCAGACTGGTACACTTTATTTTTAGCTGTATTCCATATATTCATGCTTTCGCCGTCATATATTCAGAGGCCAGCTGATATTAGATCTTGAGTTGACGAAGAAGTGGTCCCTCGAAAAAATATATATTAGCTCACACTTACGTAATTTACGAAACCGTATGAGGTGCAAAGCGACGATTTACTTGGAAGCCTGAAATCTTCGTCTCTTGGGCCAACTTGTTCGGCATTCCAAAATCCTACCGAAAGCAGAGTCTGGGAGAGCTTCTGACCATTTTCTTGGTAAACAACGCTTCTGATAGGTTTTCAATCCTTGTCCTTTCCAGCATCAAATTTTTAAAAATCTAGGTCTCTGCGAGAATAGGGTAATTAACCCAGTGATTTCTAGTCCAATTGCATGATTGTTGTGTCTTTGGAATGCTCGCCATGCATAGGGAAATGTTTTATTGGTTCGTTTCCGTAATCTAAGCGGAGCTCGAGAATAAATAGGGGCTGAAACTCCCCTTGTTGCTTTTTAAAACTACTGAGCTAAAGTAAAAGCTCTTTCACAGAGGTGGATCTGGGTTACTGAAAAAGTTACAGGAATAAGTCACAAGGATAAGTTATCAGGATATGTAGTGTTGAGATGACTGCGTAGTGCGATGGGAGAGTAAAAGGGGCTTAGATACACGAGAAACAAGTAAATATCCAAACAATTCACGCTAACCTAATATGGTACTTGGTCCAGTGACAAGCTCTACGTCCTACTATGGGTACAGGACCGGTGGAGCTGGTAGGGGTCCCTGTGTTCTTTTAAACAGCCCACTCATCCAACCGCATGAATCGCTATCAAAGTTATAGCAGATTGAAATAGAACCCAAAATCAAAATAATCAAGATAGCCCCAGAGAATTGAATATTTCTCCATTTTAGACCCAAGCAACGCGTTAATCACATATTCCCTCGCCCGTTAGACCTCTCAATTGACAAATTTCACCCACATCAGCTGAGAGCAAGAGATCGGTAGCAGGTACCATTGGTATAGCCGGTATCCTGCTATTAGTTAGTGATGCCTTAAAGGCATTGTCGAGGTCGCTGGGTCCTCAAACTTCTGCTTCGGACTCCAGAACTCCGAAGTCCAATCCCTCCGCCATCGAGACGTCCTTATTAAAGGCAATAATCGCCTTTTCCACTCTCTTCGCGGCATTTTCTGCCCGAGCTGCTTCTGTAAACCTCCCGTGCTCGACTTGGCTAATCGCCTCAAGCTGCTCTTTGTCCACCGAACCGAACTTGTGGGGTCTAGCTCGGCAGTCTCGAGAGTCCGAGAGGTGAGGTTCCACGTAGTTTCGACATCGGGCGAGGGTCTTGTACTCTGCCTCAGAGTATATTATTGATCCGCAATTCCGACAGGCCGGAGCGTGAGAACAACCACGAGTAATGTGGAAGCTGAGACAGCAATTAAATTGCTGAATTGGTCGACGTGACTAGAGCTTTGCAACCATGCCAGACTTTTCGAAGATGCGGAATCCCGCACAAGGCGCGGAGTCCCGAGAAAATGGCGGACCAGTTTCTGTGCGGCGCATCAGGGCAGTACATTCAATGAGATAGCACTCGGCTGGTCTCCTTTCAAGTTTATCGACGGATCTCGTGTAAGTCCCCCTTAAAATCGACTGTTGTCGGGCTTGTTATGTAATTTGTTCTTACGGGTACGTTAAGTATTCGTAAAAAGACTAGATCCGAAGATCCTTCGATTTTGGCGTTGAAACCCGCCAGGTTCGAAGATGCACCCAGTTTCCGCTGTCTCATTTTCTTACACTCTGCCAAAATGGAATAGCCGGTCCTAACTCGGTGTATCAAGCTAGCCATTATTAAATTGCAGTCGGCTTGCACCAAAATTGCAGTTCGTTTACCCTTGGGAGACAATTTCTGCCACGGGTGGTTGCTGTGAAGTTTTAGGAATAGTTAGTTGTCCACTTTAGTCTTCGAAGCCCCTTTCTTTTGGGCTGCACCCGTAGGTTACGGCATAATTTTCACTGTAGGAACTGCTTTCTGTCGTAGTACGTTTTTTGCCACCGTGATCCAGGTGCTTTTTACAAACAGCACTGGGACGGCGGTTTTTTTTGGCTCCTGGCGCCGGGAGCTCTTAAAGGAAGGTTCGGTGGGCAATCTGCTTTTGTGGCAGCTTTGGGCTGCGACGTTGATTTTGACGCTGCTTTGGGTGCAGCGTTCTCCGATAGTTTTGGCGCGGTCGGGGTAGATTTTGACGATTCTCCAATCCCGTGGGGGACGGAGGGTGGTTGAGGAATTTCCTCAACAATTTCAACTGACCCGATTATGTCAGTATCAGGCTCAGCGACTGCGGGAGGGCCTTTTCCTTCCCTTTCGAACTGCCTGGCCCATCTCCGCGCATTTCGAAGACTGGGCAAGGCCAGGTAATTTTTCAAGAGCCCTCGGGCGGACTCTCGTGTTGTCCAACAAGACGTTTGGACTCTTTTTACGAACAGGAGGCATGGTGAAAGTGCCTGAGCTCGATCAAAATTCAGAGATGGATGCGACGAGATTGAGAGGGGTGGATTTGAGAAAATGAGAATTTTCGATTTTCTCAAATTGTTTTTTATTATTCTTTATTACGAATGGGTCCTAAGCTAACACTCTTTATGCACAATGTGTGAAGGACCGGTAGAGCCGGCGGAGATCTCTGCGTACAGGCCCAACTCATTCCAACAGTGTGAAACTATTATGTTAATTGAAGCTGGTTTAGACTTGTTGGAAGAAGATATGGTTAGAATACTTTTTTTTTGCATCGGATTTTAATTGCGTATGCAGCTATCTAGCTTTGACACAATATCAAAGAAAAATACAGAATAGACGATTCGACGCAAAGGAAGAGTACTCATGCCTCGGATTTCATTTGCAAGTACCACTGCGAAGTTATAGCGGCTTTTTCTTCACCCCAAGTCAACCCTCATCCGTGAATACCCACTCAGGTGAACGTTTCAAAAGCCCTGGGTTATCCAGACTTACCTCCATCATCTTTCAACTTTTATCCGCGCGATATGTGGTCTTAGGCGTCCCCTTCACAAGTGGAGTAGTTGCCCAGGCTACTCAGACTATACAGGAGAACACCACCAGGAGGCGGACCACAACACCTTCCATCGTTGGCTTGTGTTCATAATGTCAGTTGCACTCTCGCAAACGAAGTCTTGGCGCGCACAAATCCCAATTCAAAAAACTCCTTGCCAAAGTTCGGAATCTCACGCCCTTCGAAATTATATCCTTCCTTTGCATCATCTTGTCAACTTGCCCTGATCCCTCTCACGTCCATCACAAAGAACTGTCTCTCAGATTTGTGCGCCACGCTTTGCTTCCTCCAGCGGGTGTAAATATCGGCGTGAGCGTGTATTTGGTGACCAGCTGAGGCCAGAGAAGGTCGGAGAGAGGTGTGGTCATAGGGATGAGGATGTACTTGGTCGTACTTGTAGACTTGATGAGACTTAGGTAGGAGTTAAACTCGTTAGCAGCGAAATAACGAAGTGGATGAGTTATTCGGATTTTTGCCTCGTGGGCCAACTTCTTTGATATTTCAAAATTTGACTGAACTTGGCTCTGGGAGAATATTTCACTCCCAGGTTCGTAGAGGACACCGCGTACAGGTGTTCAGTCTTGCCCTCTGTTGAGCGTACCTACCGACACCACTGGAGGACGGAGAATTTATATTTGAAATCCATTGTTATTGACACAAATTTCATAAATTGTGTTCCACATTTGCTTTTTGTTCTTAGCCCCAACCCAGGCGTTGCGATGATCATCCGCAGACTCCACGGTGGCATCCAAGTTTCTGATTGAAGATCACGTGTGTAAATAGATCCTTGCAAAAAAGTTTGCATTTTCTTCCGAGATCATATTAATTGCATCACCAGAAAAGTCCCGAACATCCATCATGTCCTCTGATGAAATAGTGTGGCAAGTTATAAACCAGCAGTTTTGCTCGTTCAAGCTCAAGTAAGCACCCCCTCCCTACTTACGGGTCCATTATTGAAAGGATAGGACTACTAAAGAAAAAAATTTCTGTCGCCATGAATACAATGTCACCGGTCTGTGCAATCGCCAGTCATGCCCACTGGCCAATTCACGATACGCCACCATCAGATCGAACCCAGATACTGGAACTATTTACCTCTACATGAAAACTATAGAGCGTGCTCACACGCCATCAAAGTTGTGGGAACGAATCAAACTATCGCAGAACTACGCAAAGGCCCTAGCTCAAATTGACGAAAGACTGAAATATTGGCCAAAGTTTCTTATCCACAAGTGCAAACAAAGGCTCACTCGTTTAACACAAGTTGGAGTAAGAATGCGGAGACTTGCGAGAGAGGATATCAGGCTCGGAGAAAAACTAGTTCCACGGATGGCGCCCAAAATTAAGAGACGAGAGGAGACGAGAGAGAGAAAAGCAGAAGCTGCTGCAAAAGTCGAAAGAGCCATTGAAAGAGAACTAATAGAACGATTAAGAAGTGGCGCTTATGGTGATCAGCCATTAAATGTTAGCGAATCTATTTGGAAGAAAGTTCTCAAGGGGTTGGAGAGGGCTGGCGAAGGTATGAGAGACGAGGACCTGGACGAGGGAATAGAAGAAGATGATCTAGACTCGGAGGATGAGGAAGAGGATGTAGGGATGGTCGAGTACGTGAGTGATATTGGTGACGAAGAGGAGGATGAGGATTTGGCAGATCTTGAAGACTGGCTTGGATCAGAAGATGCTGCCGAGGCAAGTGGAGAAGAAAATAGTGAAAGTGATAGTGAAGATGAACCCCCTAAAAGACAGAGTTCCGGGGAGAAAAGAAAACGAGGAGCAGCATCCAACCTCGATGCTAAGAAATTTCCAAGGATGGAAATTGAGTACGAAGAGGAGATCGGAGCGCCTGAGCGAGCTCTGGCTTGATCGTACATGTCAGCTTTAGTGTTTGGGATTAGGAGTTGGACGGCAGTTTAGGTATAATCAATGAAGATCTGGGTCATATTTTAAAATCCCCAACACGTAAGAATCAAGAGAGATTTCTCAAACTTGTAGTTGTGACACTTCGAGCCTTGTGCCATCAGCGACGTCTGTAAGTCGGGGGTTGCTGGAGCGCAAGCTAAAACCCAATCATGTTTCGGTGCCTAGTATTTCGCCGCCTATTACACTCTCTGCCTGAACACGTCTTTCATTTTCAGTGAGCGGGATTAAAAGGTTGTTGAATTTTCTAAAGTACAAGTATTCCCGATTCCATTTAATAATTTAATCCATCTCGACTCCAACATCTGCGGCTCGCCTGGACTGCGATGTCATCTTACTGGTCTACTCTTGTCACAACAACCACCTCACGAGTCAATTCAATCCGACAGAACCTACTCGCCGGAGAAAACGACGGTGATACGGAAGATGATACCTATCTCTGTCGTGTCTTGAGGTCTTACTACACCGAGAAGGGTCGCTCTTTTCCAGCCTGGCTACCTCCAGACCCAAGAGCCCCACCACCCGTTGTCGTGCAGCCTGTGTACTCGCCTTCAAATGTTGGATCGAGATATGGGAGTTTAGGAACACAACAAACAGCCTCGAGCTCCTTCGCCTCGTTATTCGGGAATTCAAACGAAGCACCAAACCCACCTCAGGATACATCAAGTCTGCGACAAGGAAGAGGGGGTCAGGCACGTTTAGGAGCTACGACAGCAGCAGGTGCAAGACCAAATGCATATAATCGAGGGCAATCGAACCTAGAAACTAGTCAGGTCCAGAGTCGGCCACTACCTAGCAAGATGGCTGGTAGTTATCAAAACGCTGACGTCGAGATGAGAGGAAACGCGCGAGCTCACACACCCCCAATGAGTGCCAAAGATAGATTACGAGCTGGTAATCTACGAAGACCTGAATTGCGCTCGCAGAATTCGAGCTTCGAAAAATCAGAGAAGCCTTTTGTAGCCGCCACGAGCCCTTGGGCCAACAACGAGACTGAATTCGGAGGTGGCGGCTACGAGCCACCGCCAAGAATCAAGCCACCAGGAATTCCGAGTAATCCTTCGAATGGAAGAAAGATGGGTCTGCCTAGCGGACCACGAGGAAAGAGATAAGCGTCTGCGAGAGTGACGAGCTCAGTTGAGCTGAGCTTATATGGAATTAATACAGGAAACTGGTATTTAATGAATATATAAGGCCTTACCAAGGGGATGTAGTATAATTCAGTAAGGCCTTTGTTTCATACGCTTCCAATCCTGTGCGCTTGTGATAGTTTGAACTAGAGGCAAATGTTTGTAAATTTTCGAGATTCTAGGTCAGCCTGGTTGATAATTCCTCTACTTTTGGGTTTCTTTGTGGTCACTGCATGTTTCACGTTCAAAAGAACAATTCCTTGGGGGACAATTCATGGGCAAGCAATGATTTTCGCGCGTTTCAGAGAACTCTAAAGATACACTTCGGCAGGGTACCCTCAATAGATCTGATCATGTCTAATAAATCTCCAACCTCTACAGTAGGTGTTTATCGAAAGGCCTCCGTGCTGTCCTTGAATCAAAGTACGATTACTACTTGATGAGATTTTATCTCATTTGACCTCATGTTGCCGCGATTTCGTGACACTCTTATCTTGCCAAGCCTCGCGTTTGTCAAAAAATCAACTCATCTGCTAGAGTTAACTTCAGAGCTTGAGGACTATTCTCAACACCTGTGAGTGGTGTCCCCTACGAACCTCCAGCTCTCACTATAAAGCCTGCAGATCCGAGATTGAGTAACAAAGTCCTCACTTAGATGAGGATTCCAAGTCACCTTTGCGGTATGAATTGTCTTCATCTCTCAACACATCCTCTATCACCATTATCATGAAGCTAACCATGATGAGATCAGATGCTAGGGTCGGAGCTCTACTCATCACTAACCCTTGATCATGGAGGAAAAGCCATACGATGAGTTTCCGGAGCGTACCCAGCACCCGATACGGAGATGGTGGATTGGATCAAGTCGGCCCCGACTGTTACAAAGAAGGGAGATATAGATGAATTTGCGCATCTAATGTGGTCCAGTGTCTAGGTCTCGTCGGGCTGGGGCTGCAGGTTTTCTGAGACTTTTTCCCGCGCACGCAGTTTCCATTGCTACCATTTTATTATTTTGGATAGAAGGTTCCGTGGAAAAGGTAGCCGAATTCCACGATTAGATTCCACAGGTAAACACTGAGCTGAATGGCTATCCATCATTGACATAAATCAATAACCTTTCAAGTAGTAAAAGATAGCAGGAGCACTGTAGAAGATGTGACTTGGGCCACAGAGGAGCCCAATGTGCTAGATATTCTAAGACTCAAGTAGTACAATAAACACACCTCTCTCTCTCTCTCTTTATCTTAGCTCCAGAGCTTTCTGAATAACAGTGGGATGGGTTCGGGATCTAAACATACATTGCAGTGCTATCATCCACATTCATGCCTTATCCTGCGTGGATAAAGAGGTAACCATTAAGATTGATTGGGGGCCTAACAACTAATATTTGTCAACAGTACTCCCTGCAAAGTTCCATGACTCACCGTAGCCTACAGAGCTGGGATGATGTTCAGTTCTAGCCAAGAGGGTTTATATTTTAGATGAATTAATAGAATTCTATCTGCCCAAGATAACACTAGGAACTTGAGGTAGGATACTGCAGCCTTCACCCTTAATTAAGAACTTGTGTCATCACAACTGAACCCCGAATTTATACTGAGGCGAAAATTATGGTAATAGTTGATTTTTTATTTTATGTAAGTTTAAATGGTACTTGCGTCTATAACTTTCTTGCGCAATTTATTCCTCTAACCTAAAGTAAACTACGTATAGTGTCCCTGTCCTACTAAATTACTTAAAAGGTTGATGAAAAATTGCCCGTGATGGAGGTTTATCTAGCTCAGTGTTTGCCTGTAGAATTGAGCCACATTTGATACGGAACTTTTTACCAAGAGAAATAGTAGCAAGGAAAACAGCGGGGGCAGGAAATTCACAAAGTCTCTGCAACTCCAGCCAGGCGAGGTGCGCATATTCATCTATATCTCCCTTCTTTGTAACTGTAGAGGCGGCCTTGATCCAACCTGCCATCGCCGTATCAGGTGCCGGGTAAGCTTCAGAAACTGATCGTATAGCTTTTCCTCAATGATCAAGGTTTGATAATGAGAAGGCTTTCGACCATAACATCTGATCTGATGGTGGTTTGCTTCATGAAAACGGTGCTGTAAGGATGTTCTGAAAGATAAAGATGAATGTGTCACTCAATCCTGGATCTGCGGAATAGACAGTGAGATCTGGAGTTTCCTAGGGAACACCACCAACAGGTGTCGGGTTTTTGCGTCTCTAGTTGAGAAGTTAGCAGGTCAGGAATTAGATCAGGTGTAATCCTGCAGCTTCTAGCTTGCAGGCCGCTCCAAACACTTAAGAAAGTTAGACATATCCTCGCATCTAGTCTTGATGTCGGTAATATGAGAGAGCTGCATCCAGTGGCAGTTGTGGGCTTTCACGGCTGTCATGTAACCGCAAATGGCCATAGTTTATGATTGATCGAAGTCTTGTGATGTGCGGCGCTATTGGATAGTATCTTTAGGAAATGAATAGAAGAAGTGCCAGAAGGGAAACATATTTTATTTCTAGGCTGAGAGACCCTACAAGCCTCTGACAATTTCAGGCTGAAGAAGAAGAGGGTTCAATGTTTCCCAACGCTACTTTTCAGGGGTATAACAGTGGAACATACCAACAGCCGGGGTTTGTAATATTTCGCTAAGTTCAAGTAGGACCGAGAAGTAGAGACAAAGGATACATAATTATATTAACCTTCTTCCAAACGACATTAATTCAGAACATAATTTTACCAAGTCTGGAAGTAAGATACTGTATATCCTGAATTTGCCGGCCACACTCCACATCGAATCAATCCGACCTCCATGTAATCGCCCGCGATATTATGAATATCTGCCGTTAGACTCAAATCGCAGCACACCTACAATACAGGTTCAATGGATAGTAATGAAGTCGGGTACGGTAAAACAATGGGAAAATACTGGGAAGCATAAATGTCCTCAAACTATAGGATCATTTGATGCGCTGAGACATTAGTGTTTAGACGAAAGGACAAAATGTTGAAAGTAGCTAAAGACAGTACCCAGGTCCGCTTTGAATCTAGATATGTGTATGATGAGTGTGAGAAGATTTTACTCTTACTCTCTTTCAAATAGAAGATCAGTAGAGAGAATTACTTTTCATAAATAACAGAAAGGGCATAAATTTTATGCGAGAATGATAGAACCACTATTCGATATTCCTCATGGAAACCAATCATAATTGGATGAATGGTTTGGGCTCGAGTCTATACCTCGAGTAATATTCGTTCAAATGCGCACGATTTTATTAGGTAATATCAAAAACAAATCAACAATTTGTGCGATTATAAATTAACCAGCCGGAGTTGAGATTTTACTGGGGGATATATCGGTTAATAATTTCTACATTTTCTACGTTGTCGAAACTGAGCAAGGCACAAAGTATAGACAGGTAGATCCGAATAACAATAATAGAAAATTCAATTCTCCGTAAGAATTTTATATCAAGGACTATGATACCTCCAAAAACTTACGTCTATGTCGTAACTTTCAGAGATTCAAGATGCAAAATGGTACTCCACTTTACTTCAGATCACCACAAATTATGGGAAGGTTAAGCTACAAGGACAATGATACAAACTTCTTAAGGCTATAGCTAAGGGCGAATGTAGAACGTTGGAATGAATACATTAAATCGATTTGCAGAGAGATAATCTCTGCAAACGGGACATCTTCACATTTATAGGTGGACGCTTTATATTCATTTCAATTATTTATCGCATAAAGTAGGTGATATTGGATAATCATAGTTAGACAATAATTTTTATACACATCTGATTTTATCTTTTCATGCTTTTTCAAAAGCTAGAGATACGGAACTTGCAGTGCAGATATTGTCCTCTAAGTGCTTTATGATAATGCACTTTTGAGATCTCATCTCATTGACGTACTTCCAGGGAAAATTTAACCAAAAATACTTGTGAGTTTTGCTAACTACAAGCCCAACACGACTTCCTCACGGTCAGATTGAAGACCGCAGTATAGTCAAGATTTTCATATATACTAATCAAGCATAAAAAGTGAGTTTTTCTGAGGTTAGTGCGATAGTTTTGGTGAAAATTTCCAATTTCTATATTGTTATCCAGGCATAGAATAGTTGCTTCACAGGAGTTGCCAAGGAATAGAAGCGACTTTATTCAGTATATTATTCAGTTTTAAAATCTGAAGCGTGTCCCTAACTTTACCTTTCATCGCAAAATCTATTTCAAAAAGGGTTCGATGAAGATCAAGGCATCTTCCTTCATGACATGATCTTAAATTAAGAAAATCTGTCGTCATCTCAGATACCAAGAAGAAAAAATGGGTATTAGTTTTATGTCTAAAACTTCAATTCAATCTAGCTTAAAATCCAAGCCTTCCAAAAAGACTGTCCATGGAGACCCACTGCCGTCCACATTTATCTAAATACCCATTAGTGATTCCTCTCAGTATTCCGAATCTATCTCGGTTGTGCTCTGCAAGTGCTGTTATTTGTTCTAGATCCTGGTCAAATTTATACCTTAGAACAGCTCAGGTTTATCATACCTTTCTCAGCTTCAGTGCACTTTTCTTTTGCTTTGTCAACATCAAACAAAGACATAAAATATAAAAGCTGGTTGTAAATCATTTTCTCAGAATATTCGTATCGCATTTTCCCTAAACAGCCTTTACCAAGGGCCTGGGGACCAAGGCACCGATGACCGTAAACACTCATTTGCCGAGTCCGATTTCCACAAGCCTGATCATCACATATGAGCCAACTCTCATAATATTTGCAGGTTTGTTGTCGAATTTGATTCTCTACCTGAGCCATGACCGAAGTATCTGTCAAACGATGGCCACAGGCACAAAATATACCCTCAGGCTGACAATGTTTTTGACTCCCTTTTAAGCCTTCAAATATAAAACTTACCTTACAAAGACGACATCTTAGTGTAAGACGGCACGCATCTCTGAAGCGCGTTTCGTCATCAATCTGACTTTCAAGAGGATGGATATCAATTCCTTGGCTGCTAGCAGAAGTATTATTGTTGATTTGATATTTTCTTACATCTAATCCAAGACAATCGGCTAGGCGAATTGTATCTGTGCCAGAAATGTTTGCACACAGGCGTTCTACTGGCGGAAATATCTGCTTGTAAAGATACCATTCAAAATCAGGGCTCAAATTAGAACTATCCTTGAGTAAATCTTGCGGCGAGTAAGATCTCTTTGCTACTGGCACAGCGTTATCGCCAGTCTGAGTGGTAACTATATATGAGATGACGTCATCCTTGCGTACAGTTTTTCCCCTAGACATTTCGCGAAGCGCAACCTGGACTTGAGGCATAGTTTCTGCGTTTGGATAATCTTTTGGCGATTTTCCCAGCTTAGTAAAGATAGTGTACTTGCTAATAGGTACGCCACCATTTCGCATATTTTCCGAAACTTCTCGAAGGTAATCATGAATGCGAGTTATAACTATTTCTGATTCATCACCAGAAAGTATTTCTTTAAGTAGCCGAGAAGATACTTCCTTTGAGAGGTTGCAATATTCTCTGCGCTTCATGTCGAGACCTTTGACCTCTAATTTTTCGACATATCGCCCCTCGACTTGCACTAAATTAATTGCAGCATATTTCTTCTTAGCTTGCAGTAATATACGTCGGAAAATATTGTCTATATCTATCTCAAGGAGTTTGTACCGCTCATTCACGGCTTTTCGGAACTCATTCCCAACTTTGAGTGCATCTTCGATATTGCTAACGTTTGCGTTGATCATGACAGAGTCAGTATCGCCGTATATAACTTGAAAAGAATTTGATTCAGCTAACTCTTTTGTGCTCTGCAAAATTTCTCGGCCTTTGTACGTAGTGAGGACAGCGAGTGGTCTAGCGTAGAACCTTGACTTTCTATAACCTAAGCATCCATACATTGAGTTCGCTGTCAACTTGAGAGCAAGTTGTTTTATATCCCAGGTCGCTAGCTGTTCACTGGTTGCGTTTTTATCTTTCATGAGGCTTTTGACCTGCCGTCGACGGCTAACAAGAGTAGCGATTAGTTTCGGGAGGATTCCAAGTTCTTGGTCCTTGGGCACATCAGGAACGCTTTCATCATCATCAGGCTAAAGACATTAACAGAAGGAAAAGTTCTACCGGTTTTCCGCTTACCAAACTGCTCCTCTCAACTGTTGTAAAACATATATTGTATTCCTGTATAATACTAGGATACAGGGAGTTGAAATCCATGACCAAGACAAATTTATCATACAGACCTTTTTCAGGTTCAAAAACGAGCCCGCCTTTGTACTTATCTTTCTTACTTGTTAATGAGCTTTCATCAGGATCTTCGATTTCAATCCTACTCCTGCCTCTTGATGATAACTTATCGGGACAGATGTACTTGTTTTTGTGGAATTCGTGCAACAAGATGTATTCATTTCTTTCGGCTCGAGTTCCAGTAAGCGTCCTAGCCCATGAATTTCCAGCTAGGTTGGTAAGAACTTTTGTGAGTGAAAGCATTTGTATATTCATTGCTAAGGCTGCTATAAAATACGTATCGGCTTCGCAATGTCGGACATAATCCATTAGCCCCCCCTTAGTAGTAGCCCACGTATTCATAGCAATTTCACTTTCGACATCTCGACGACTATCGTTCAAAAGATAGAGGCTACACATTTCGGTCAAGCTCCAAGAAGTACACTTAGTCATTATAGATTTTCCCATGTCATTCGCAAGATCGCACAAGAGGCGACCAGCGAGCAATGATCTTTCAGCAAAGAAGTTTCCTTCCATGGTACCCAATGAGTTAGGCCATTGGGTTCGATTCATCCTTCCAATTCGGGACCACTGAGGCGTTTTGTTGGTCAGAAGACGGCTTAGCAAAATCCTGAAATCTACACCTTCTAGCTGATGACCAATCAATACATCAGGATCATCAAGGGCCAATCGAGCTAAGAAAAAGCTTAACAATTCCCTCTCATGCTTCACAAGTTTTATGGATCCTTTGGTATGTTTTGCAGCTTCAGCTTCGAATCCTATTGGGAACATGGTTTGAGAGGGCCGAAGAACAGTTATCGAGTGACTTGGTATTTTCTCAGGTGCAACTGTATCTGTAATGGATATTTTGTGATATATCCGCGCACTTATAGCTAGAATTTCCTGTTTGTTCTCTTTCTTGTTTAACAGAGTTCGAATAGTTATACTCATCAGCGTTAGTGGCGGTATTTGAAGGGCTTCATTACCTCCAGCGATGTTAATAAATTTTGGTTCGGATAACTGAACTTCTAATTTACAATGAGATGCTTTTTTGAGCACTCCATATTCTCCATTTTCGATCTGTAGCCAGCATGGCCCCATTATACTCTTCCACAGAACGAACTGTTCAAATAAAGATGTACTTGTACCAAAAACGTGTGAATATGTTAGTCCCGAGTGCTGATTACTTGGAAGTTGAGGCTCTAATGACATTAGCTGTATTTGATGTACCTAGGGTACAAGCTTTTACTTGAATAGGAATATAATAGCTTTAGGTATTCTCCCTCCTTTGGAATGTTTGGCATTTCAAAAGCGTACTTCCGATGGCATGGTTTGATTTTATGGTCCCCAATCTTGAGATTCGTCATTATACTATCCACTTCTTCATAGACATCTTTCATATCCACCATGTCCGATGAGCCTTGCTTTTGTTTGCGGGGTAGGAAAAATAACTTCCGCAATATGTTGTCGATTTTAACGAATGTACTGACGAAATTCCCAGTTTTTTTGTCTAAAACTTTACCAAAGAGACATAGCGAGCCGTTAGATTCCATAAAATCTATCCAAAAAAAACGAAGGCTACCATCTTCCTCTAATGCGTCATTGTAGTCTAATTTTCCAAATTGAAATACCTCTGGATTCGAGCCACTGTTCAAGACTTTTAATTTTTCTCCAATATCATTCCAAGGAGTATCAATCTCAGTTGTTGGAATCTTTCTATTATAGCAGGAAGGAAGGTCCTCTGGCTGAGATTTTACAGGCTTTAGTTGAGGCCGCACTGCTGATATGTTGATGTTGGTGGATGTTACTCCATCTAGGTGGGCAACTTCAATTTCGTCTTCTCTATCGTCTTCATTAGGAGGACTGAGTGGGTTGGAATCGTGAGATTTTCGTGGCGAAGTTGTTAGATCAGGAGGTAAAGCCGTAGCTTTCTTGTCAATTCCTTTTGGAAGGTTATCATCAAAGAGATCTTGTTTCTCGGATGACCCGGTTAGCGATCTCGTATCAAACACTTTAGGTCGTTTAGGAAGCCGAGATTTGATTTCATCTGCGGAGGGAGAAAGTTCTCTTGCTCGTCTTCTCTCATTTAATTTTCCTTGTCGCTGAAGCTTTGAAAGACTTGGTTTAGAGATATTATTTTCGACTTCATTTAAGAGACCGTTAAGAAATTCTTCATTGTCTTTTGTTACGGCGGCCTATCTAGTGTAAGTAACTTTTTTTTTGGAAAAGCAGGACTACCTTGGGCTTTGCTTTAGATGTAGCTATTCCTCTAGCAAAGTAGTTACTAATACCCTTCTCTGTTTCAACTTTTCCTTGCTCTCGCTGTTGTAAATCTATCCATTGTCAGCTTGGCTAAAAATTATGATGATAGCTTTATTCACCTAGTTTTCTACCTTTACTTAGTGAAAGTTCTTCTTCGCTATCTGAATAATTCTGTGATACTTGATCCCACTCTTCTCGTCCGTAATCTGCATATCCCTGGCCATTATCATCTATGACAAAGTCGTCCTGATTTAATCGGTCACGAACAACCTTTTTGTAACTTTCTTCATCGAGCTCTTCGTAAAGATCAGCTTCCTGGTGTATCTCATAGGTTTCCAACCGCTTTTTCCCAGATTTACGAAGAGCAACAAGCTCGGCGATATGAGCTCGAGAATTTGATGGCTTTGGCATCAGAGTTAACTTGGGCGTATAGGATGCTGAGAACCTGTAGGGTGCAAATCAGCGTCGCGGAATGCTCGAGCGGATGCGAATCATGGAATTCGCTTGATGACGCGTTTGCGGATTTCACATAGACGCGCGCGCCCCTGTTCAATATATCGATTCCTGCCCGGCAATCACCAGGTAATATCATCCCCTTTTATGAAGGCTCGACAGATTACTGTCCCGGTTAAACCTCGTTATGAAGTTCTGTGATGGATGTCGTAGGACCATACTGCAGATTTCTGGTGGCTGTATGAACATAGTATCATCGACTTCTCCCAAATCACGGCACTCAGCCTTGATATTTATATTGGAACCACCATATTTTCAAAAAAGGGGGATCAGGTATAGCTCCCGACCAGTCCGAAAACTCATTACGGAGAGAATCATTAATAGGCGAACTTGGCTTGATTCTGACGAAAAAAAGCCTGTCCATGATCGAAATCATATTGAATTGCACCCTGCATTCTCCCCGAGAGATGATCCACTAAAGCTAGCTGAGTTTGTACGAAGGACTTTGGAACGAGATGATTTCGAACTTGCAGCTAGAGTTGTTCGGGAGTCAAGCCGAAAGATACAGTGTGTGGTCAGCTGGAATCATCTAATTGATTGGCTTATGAAAAAGGGGAAAATAAAAACTGCGACTAAAATCCATAGTGAAGTATAATTGCATTCTTCCATAAAAGTTCCAACTAACACTATCAACAGATGAAAAAGCGTGGCCAGACCCCTGATGCTTATACCTACACAATCATCTTAAGAGGCTGCTCTCAGCACCAGCACTCAAAACAGGCTCTTGCAAAAGTGCTAACGATTTACCAATCTATGACACTAGATAAATCACCGGTTAAGCCAAACACTATTCATACGAATGCCATTTTGAAAATGTGTGCCGCGTCAGACGATATCGAGACAATGCTTTCTATTGCTGCTGATCAGCCATCAAGTGGTCCGCAAGCATCAGACGCCATAACATTTGTTACAATTCTTAATGCTATACGACATCACGCCATCGGTAGACTCCCAATGTCACCAAGTACATTACAGCTCAAAAAAAATATAAGGGAAGCAGTGCTCCAAGGATTAGAAATATGGAATGACGTCATGAGGCGCTGGCGCAAGGGAGACATGTGGATTGACGAAGAGCTCGTTTGTGCAATCGGACGCTTATTATTGCTAAGTGAAGAGAGGCAGCACTGGGACCAAATAATCTCTATTATCGAGACGACCATGGCTATTCCTCGCCAGCTGCCTATATATTCTAATCAAATAAAAGCCCCTCTCATTCATGACACTCAGAGCCAGACCCAATCTGTTCAAGCTCCTAGCCTATCAATCTCATCCTCAGAATCGCAACCTCAATCGAGCAACGGAACACCTGAAGTTCCAATCACCCGAGTGTTATCAGCCACTACATCTCTGGTCGACTCTAAAGTTGGCGTGTACACAAAGCCAGGACGCAATACGCTTTCTCTCATTATGAATGCTCTTCTTTTACTGTCCTCAAAAGAGCCAGCAACAAGATACTGGAAATTTTTTACCGAACAACTCTCAATTGAACCTGATCTAGAGAATTATGTATCTTATATGAGAATTCTACGTGTATTTAGATCCAGTACTCAGACCGTAGAACTTGTACAAAAAATGCCTCAGAATTTCAAGGTAACCAAGATCTTCCGAATTGCCATGAGCTCCTGTGCAAGAGATAAAAATAATAATAACGCATTCTCAAGTGCTGGAAAAATACTAGACATGATGCAAATAACTTTAAGAGAGCCAGATATTCCAACGATAGCTCGATATATGGATGTGGCTCTGTCGTCTTCAAAATATTCTGCCTCAGCACCCTCATCAAGTAACTCTACACGCTCACTAACAACAGTTGGCAAGCAGATCCTTCGCGCTCTAGATCGTGTGGAAATCCTTATCTTAAGTCTTAAAAATCTAATGTTTTTTAAAGATCCTGATTTGATGCAGAAGTCAGAATCTGAAAGAGATGCTTTTTTGGGAAGCTTTATTGCTTTGATACAAAAAGCAGTCGGTGCGCATGATGTCTTGATACAGGGAGGGTTAATAACCAGTAGTTTAATTCCTGAACTCACATCTCGACGTTTTAAACTTGACAGTCTCAGAGTTAGAATAATGAAGCGCAAAAGAACAGAAGTTTCAATAATCCAGTCCAAGGGATCGTCCAATAATATCACCTCTAACAGACTACACCCAAACCACAATGCTAGATATACAAGGCCCTTGAATAAATTGGGAATCCTCCCTAGTAATTGTTATGCAGATAAAATTGGAACAATGGCTAATAGATTAGTCCAAGGAGAAACCTATCACTAAAGTTTGCTTACATCCACAGCAAAATTTGGGGACCCAAACTTTTGAATTCACCAGACTTAAGGTTACTCTGCTGCTAAAATAGTCAAGTATTTCTTGCAGCTGGGCCGTTAGGAGACTTCAACGTTTCATCTGGAGTTATTAGTCAGCAGCTCGTTGTGGGCCTCTTAGCGTGCCAGGCACTGGAAACGGGACTCCCATCTTAGTACTCAAGGGTTGCTTTCTTTCTTAGATAGGTATGACTGAATAATGTCGAGTTCACCAACCTATTCAGTATAAGTAACCTTTGTACAAGTGATATCACCCTGTAGAACCAACGCTGATCAGTGATTAAACATGCAGTCAGTCATGGAACGACAAGGCAAAAACAGAAGAGACAAGAATCGAGTTCCAGAAGTTTCACTGAGTTCTCGACAACTTTTGGCTAAATAAGGATATGTGAGAGGTACAGAAATATTCTATTTAAGACTTTTCATGCTTGTGAAACAGTATATAGCGGTACTTCTAAGTACAAAGTCGCGTCATTTACACAAATCATCAATTGACGTAATCTTAACAGCTATGGTTTCGCGCATCAATCTAAACCTCGGTGCTACAAATCAATTATATTATTTATTGTACAAGAAAAATTACCGTTAATATGCCTCTTCTCCCAGTTAACTTCCAAAAAAGTAATGGATGTTGATAAGTGGTCCACAAATTTAGACCCTCAAAATCAAGATGATCTCAACGCGTTAACTATAACCGGCCGTCTTCTTGCCAAACTTCTATGCTATAGACAATACAAATACCAGGATATTAAGTTATGGCAAGCTCTCAAGGAAGATATTGGAAGATGGAATTTTTGTATGTTTCAAACTACAAACTTTAAGGTGAGGTGACTATTTGGAGATAATTTACGTTAAAATGGTGTCTTTGTTCGAAAAGATGAGTCAGATATGGCGAAGATATTATTTGAAGTTGTCAAACAATAAAATTATGACCAATGGACCGCAGAAGAAATCAAATATCAGCTGAAAACAATGAGAAAACTCAATTTTCAACTGTGGAACCTCACTACTAATATATGTACAAAATTAACTTTAGTTCTGGAAATTATAAATCTGCTAGAAAATCAATCCCATCCGAACTTGAGTACTCATCTGTTTGGATTAGGTTGTTGTTGGCACTTCCTAACCTAATTGTGTTAGATTGTAGGCTACTATCCTAGGTATTCATGGGTTCGTAATTAAGATTATTGTTAAGGTTTAGCTTCGGTTATCTCACTGATTACCGAGCGGGCAGCATATCAAGGAGGCATGTAGCTCAGGTGGAAGTATCGCACTGTAAACTATATCTGAAGCTGCAACGTATTGTATTAGCTAAAAGAATAATGCTATTCGGAAACTACAGCCCCAACCCAGAACAATGAGATAAATCGGGCTATGCATGCTAGATTTAGAATGGCTAGCGGATATGGTGAAAATGGGGGTAAACATGTAGATATAGAAAAGACATTGTAGCCTCTAAATTATATGATAAGACTTTCTTAAGAGAGATACGTGGGACACGGTATTACGTTGTAAATGTTGACTAGAGTGCCCTACTGCTACAGATGAGGTCTATGTACTGATAGCCAGATCACATGACCTGACTAGCTTAGGTTACATGAGTAGGTGGAATAGTTTGCCTCTACAGTCATCAACCAGATTATATCGAAATCAGTCCTAGCCTCTTACTAAGCAATCTCATGAATCTGAGGCATGAGTGCACTTCCTTTACGTTGAATCATCTATTGTGTACTTTTCTTTGATATTGTGTCATAGCTAGATAGGTGCATACGCAATTAAAATCTGATGCAAAAAAAAAAATAATCAATCTCATGAATCTATTTCCGTGTCTGTGATAACAGACCAATATATAAAGTCGATTAGCATTAACCGGAGGACATTAAGCCCAATCTCAAAAATCAAGGTCAACAGCCGCTCATGCAATTTCCAAACCAATCTCAAAAATATCCTAATCAGCTAGCCTATCCCCCAATTCATCCACAACCTGCTTCTTCTATGCATCTTCAATCTTAACAAGACATTTTACAATTCCAGCAATAAACCCAAAACGGCTCACCAATAGTCCACCTATAACCAACAACTTCCAGAAAAATATCGGATCTATCGGATCTATCGAGACTCTATACTGAGGATAGGAAATTCAGTAGGGCCGCATATGATATCTGAAGCTCTAAATTACAGAGATTTGAAACCATCTGCGAAACTATTGCCCTTGAGGATGGATATCGGCATAAATAATTTTATATAATACTCAAAGATCATTCCTCCCGCTACTTCTTCAATAGTTTAGCGGGTAGAGGTCATAGTTTCGATCAACTGGTCAACTTAACTCGCCAAAATTTGGACACAGAGTAGAATTGACAGCTCTGTGACAGATTAGCAAAATTCTACTCTTCCAAAAACATTATAGCCAATCACCTGTCCAAGTCACACATAAATCGTCTACAAATTCTATTCGGAAAAACTCCAACTCATTCAAATAGCCCTCTCACCAGACCTTATAGAATGTACTCTCTGAGATCAAGTTGTTATGGCATGTAGAGGGGTTCTAGAATTCAAACTTGCCCTCTTTAAACCAGCTATCACTTTTGAAGGAATTTATGCTTATTTGAGGGCTGCTGTTGGTACTGAACAGAACAAACAAGTTGCCGAGAAGTTCACAGCTATCGATAAAAATGATGAGGAATATGATCAGTTCTGGACTGATCGTATATATGGAGTCTGGGGTAGGTATAAAAGATTCAGTTGTGGAGGGAGCCAATCATAGGGAAACCATAGAAACTTTGGACGAGACCTAAGAATTCAGAAGAAGTACTTTTTAAATGGCAAGCCAAACTACTGTTCCACTAAAGATACTCCAGAGGAACATGCCAAAGGTTTTAAAAGTTTCAAGGATTATTTGTAGGAAAGGGGAAAAGTGGCTTCTTTAGCTCAATACCATACCATGCTCCTTGAACTTGAGGGTGCCCCACCTTCCAATACTCCCATCTCTAACATACAGCCTAGCCAACAGAAAAGCTTCAGCCAAGACCAAATTGATCTGGAAAATATGAAACCAAACTAAGAAAACCCTACCGACCCTGATGATGATCAATTCTCCTGTCAAAGCCTCCAGGACAAATTAATCATTTTCTAGGTGTAAGAGTTGTAAGAGATGAAACAAAAAGAAAGATTTGGTTGGTTCAGGATTCTTACCTAGAAAATATAGCGAAAGAATTTAATACAGGTATTAATGAGGGAAAAGCACCGACACCGCCTCTACCAATGTCTCCATTATACCCAAATTCAGGCCAAGCTACAGCTAGAGAAATTCACAGGTTCCAACAGCGTGTCGGAAATTTAAATTACGCAGCTGTTATCACTAGGCCAGATATTGCACATGGTGTCTCAAAGTTATCAGAATACTTGCAAAATCCATCAAAAGATCATGTAATAAGATACTTGTTCAGAACTAAGTATAGGGGCATTCAGTACGGTGGCAATACATATAATATCTCATGTAGAACGTTTATTGCGTCAAGTGATGCATCCTTTGTAGATGATCCAGACACTAGATGCAGCTCCAATGGATTCTGTCTCCAGTTATTTAATGGAATGATTCATTGGAAAGCAACATAACAGAAAACTGTAACAACATCTATTACTGTGACGGGAACCCCGAGTTGGTGATGATAATGTCGATTTAATAAACTGTATAAAGAAGAAAGAGAAATCTAGCTACAACTAACGGGTATTTATAATATTCAGCCCCTCAGTAATTGTCTTGACTGATTTCTTCACCCTAGGCCGAATACTTGCCACCTAGCCACATATTATCAAGAATCATTACGCTGTGACACTGATCTGGCCCCTTGGCTAGTAGTGCCGTATCTTCCAGTTTCCTCTATCATTTCCTTACAGTCTTACAACATGAATCTTCAACAATACGCTTAGGTATCCACATAAGCTCATACAATGGTCAAACTGTAACAAGTACGGAAGCTGAGTCATTAGCATTAATAGTGACAGCATAGGAATATATTTAGTGGACTCGCCTCTTTTTTCATCTTCATCTTGATGTTTCATTGCCGGTCATATTTTGCGATAATTAACAAACACTCCGATTATTAAAAAAGGAAACTCCGAGACTAGCAACTCGATTGAAACATGTCGATATCTATCAATGCTGGCTCAGGCAGGAAGTACAGGAAGGGAGAATAAACGTCGAATGGATTGAATCAAATAAAACAGTAGCGGATGTTATGAATCTACTTATTGGCAGATTTTCGAAGCTTTAAGCTGCAGAGCTCTAGTCGATTTCGACGAAGACAAATTATCAAAGAAGACAAATTATCGAAAGTTCGAGGCTACGAAGTTACGAGGTTACGAAGATGCGAAGATGTGAAGATGCGAAAATGAGAAGGTGCGGATGTGCGAAGGTCGAAGGTGCGAATTGATTACGAGGAGACAAATGAAGGTGATCGAGGCTCGTATTATCAAGTTACGAATTCACATGTTCAGATTATCATATTATCAAAATATCGAGTTCCCAACAAGCAAATTATCCAATAAACAAATAGTTGTTACAATTAAAGAACAAATCCAAATCCAGTTGCCTCAGACCTAACCAAATTAAGAAGATAACCCCTGCATCACCACATCTAGATTAAATCTAACAAATTCATAACAGCAGATGGGTTTACAAAGATACTTCCTCCCTAGAAACACCAAATCTTTGTCAAACAAATGAATTTGGTAGACGTAAAAATCGCTACAGACAGTCAAGAAGATTAAGCGCTTATGAATTCGGATTAGACTGTTCAACAACATATTGTATAATTACAAAAACAAACAAAATGATACTTTATCAGCTTAGTGCTTTCTGTTAAAGTTATGAGAATGAGCAAAAATGGAGATTATAGCGGAATCAGTGTCAGCAGTTAGACTGATACAGTAAGTCTTGTATGAGGTTGT